ATGGTGGATCAGTTGGTCCTGTAGAATGAGACATAAAGGCTAATATTTCTTCTAATAAAACAACTCTACAAGACAAATCAAATGCCAATGCACTACAATCAAATAAGGTTTTTGCTAATATAATCATAGCAATTGCTGCAAATATGACTAGAATGAATTCTTTTCTTTTATCACTAATACACCATCTCAATCAAATCCATGCTTCTTTAGTCCAATTATTGAGGCCAAAACCAAATAGATAAACGGCCTGTTGACATATTAAAATATCATAGTTGGTTGTACTAGTCACTATACTTTTTAGAGATAAGTGTAAATAAAATAAACTAGATTCAATGTAAAATATTAATTGCAAAGGCAATCTAGTATAGCTAGTAGTTTGCTTCATATCACCTATTGAAGTGATAATGGTGAAAGGATAAGATTCAAAGTCTATAGAAATAAGTTCTAATTTTTGAGCAAGCCGCTTATCAATCATAACAAGTTGAGCCTCAAAATCCAACATAATGGGCAAAAGTGTAGTATAAGTGGTATTGCCACTAATATCACTAACAACTAATATATTGTCATATTATGTGAAGTCTTACTTAAGAATGCACTGAGCACCTGGCTATGGAAGGTAGAATGGAAATTGCAACAACAAAATTTTAATTCTAATAGAATACTAAATAAACTCTAATTAAATCTTATTAATACTAAACAAGCTTTAATCAAATTCAAAAGAAACTTTAAAGAAATTACAAAAATAACAATAAAAAATCTTAAATGGAATTCAAAAAAAATCCACAATAAATCTTAAAAGAATTCCTAAGAAATCCTAAAGAAATATTAGAATAATCACAAATATATCTTAAATAAATCTCAACTAAGTCCTAATTTAATCTTAGTTAAAATTCTAATGGACTTCAATCAAATCCTAAGCCAAATGCTTAATCCTAAGCAAATCTTAAACCCTAAATCCTAAACAAATCTTATGTAAGCAGTTTTTTCTTTCTTCATTTAAGTTCAATTTGATTCAATTGTAACTTAAATTAAAATTCAATATTAACCAATATGGGTAATTAAACTATAAATATAAAATAAATAAATAAATAATATAATATAATATAATATAATAATCACAATTAATCCAATCAAACACAACAAGTTAAGTATATAATTTTTATGATTTCTTAAATGTTATAGTCTAATAAGTTAATTGCCTTTCAAGGTTTACTTGATTAAGCTTAAAGTCTAAAAATTATAAATAAAAATAAATTAAATTAAATTATATTCACTTAACTTAGAATTAATCACTAAAATTTGAGTGAAGAGTTTAAAAATAACCACAATAAAAATTGAAGGTAAAAAATAAAAGTTATAAACTATGGTTAAAATTAAAAGATGAAAATAATAAGATAAGATTAATTTCTATTTTCTTTTATCTTTTAAAGATAAAGATGGATAAAAAGATGAAACTATACCAATAATTACTGGAATGAGGGAAAAGTTCTTAAAAATTATTAAATAACATTAATTAATGATAATAAGTTCTTGGCCGCCTAAGATGGAAGAGCGACTTGGTCTATGTCAACGATGTTAACATTTACCTCCGTAGCTTCCAGGCACATCTTGTTGATCTCCAGAAGGTCTTTGATCGAATCCATTTGGCCAGACTCAAACTCAAGGCTCGGAAGTGCAACCTCGGGCTCCCCAAGCTTGTATAGCCAGAACATGTTATTTCAATATCTGGAATTTGTCTCGATCCCGAGAAACTACGAGCACTGATGGCCTTTCCACGACCCATGAATCTCAAATGTGTACAGTCCTTTATAAGACTTGTTAATCACTTCCGTCGCTTTGTGCGTGGTTATGCCACACTCGTAGCTCCTCTGTACCAGCTCCTGAAGAAAAGAGTGATGTTCACGTGGGGATTCATCAAACAGCATGCCTTCGAGCAACTCCAATCTGCCTTGTGCAATCATTCGTTTCTCATCTATCCCCACTTCGACCTTCCATTCTTATTACAAATTGATGCGTCTAGGGACGCCATCGAAGCAATCCTTAGTCAAGTTATTAACAACCATGAGCATGTGGTGGCCTATGCATTGCGAAGACTCTCGAAAGCAACGATGAACTACGGTATTAGCGATAAAGAAGGCCTCACGGTAGTGTTTGGAGTCAAACACTACCGGCCCTATCTCCACGGCTCTTGCTTTACTGTAGAGATTGACCATGTTCCCTTACGGTGCTGATGACCTCTGGCAATCCCACTATGCGCCTTGTGCAATTGGCTTTGTTGCTGCAGTCGTATGAGTGCACGATTGTTTATAAACCAGGCCGCATACACAAAAATGTAGACGCTCTTACGAGAACCACATGCACTGTCCCAGAACCATACTCGACATTCATAGAGCTATTGCTTCACACCCCAGTGGATGGAGTTGTTACTCCAGGGCAGTAATCACATCGCAATTGACGGAGCTACACTCCACGCAAGAGGCCGAATCTCCTTCCCTCTGACTTCCTTCGAACATAATAGAATCTTCCGTTTAGGATAACACAACGTCCATCCTTTTTAGGCGCCCCAGAAGCACTTGCTCAACTCAATTTCGTAGTATAAAAAGTAGCATGAAACCGCAATTGTCTTCTTTGCCGCTCTAGTACAACAGACTAGGACTTGCTAGACTTAATCACCCAGCTTACACATACACAACCATAGTATAGATATACATAATAGCCATGCAGCCTCAGATTTTAATCCCAGAAAAAGCCATATATAGCATCATGATCATTTGCTTTATTAGAAACAGATTCATACATACTCACACATCGAATACATCATCACTGCTTGCTATAACTATTGATTAGATCCATGTGCCCTCCCTATTATGACAGTTGATCCAAGCATGAAGGAAGGAGATTCCCTGGGGCAGCCACTCCTTACCTTGCCTTTGCACAAATTGACTATTCATTCAACTTGCAAAAAGCCATGGAAGATGATATGCACACAACTCTACTAGCTGCTTGCTCAATTGGATCCATATCATCAAGCATGAATGTTTTCATGAAGAAACGAATCAGGTATCACCTCTCCCACTACCTTGCTCAGGGTGATACCCTATTCTACCAAAAGAATACGTGGGAGGGCAAATGCAACCTTCAGGTACCAAAGCGGTCCGAAGTGGAAGGTATTCTGAAGTTATTTCATTCGACTCATCTTGCAGGTAACTTTGGTATCAAAAGAACATTATACAAAATCCAGGAAGTATACTACTAGATTGAGATGGTATTGCACATAACAAATTATATCAACAAATGCGTTACCTGCAAGAAGAAGAAGAACTGCCCCAAGGCGATAAACTTGCGTCTACTTAAGCCTATTCCAATATATCTTTTGCTTGTGCCCGTATGGACTTGATGGGGCCGCTGATCTCCCCCATAAAAAATCACAAATATGTCATTGTCGGGAAGGACTACTTTACAAAATGGGTGGAGGTGAAGTCCTTTCGATCGCAGGATTGTGATCTGGTGGCACAGTTTTTCTTCGATCAGATCATGATGATACCCAACAGCCCGGTTGAAATCCTCATCGACAATGGGGTAGAATTCTGTGACACTCTCATGGATGTCCTCGCAATCCATATGAGGCTAAAAGCACAAGACAACGACCCCATATCATCCCCAATGCAATGGACCCACGGAGTGTTTCAACTGCACCCAGTGTTCATTAATCGAAAAGAATGGAAGCTATTATGAAATTTGGCATACATCTCTGCCAGCAACCATCTTCGCACATAGAACAAGTGTACATGCCAACACAAGATTCTCCCCATTCGAACTACTATATGGTCGAAAACCACGAGTGGCAATGGCCTCGTACGATGATCACATCCAGGTCGCTGAACCGGCAGACTTAGAAGGGTTCATCAAGATGTTGATCAAACAAAGACGACTCCGAAATTAAGCCGTTCACAACAATATCGAGAAGACACAGATCTGGTAGAAAGGACATAACAAAAGGGTGAAATATACGAGACCATTTTACGTGGATGATTGGGTCGCCTTTCGCATGGAAAAATTTCGGGCTCGATCCGCTGGTCCATATGTGATCACGGGTCTCGATGAACATCGATACAAATTCCAGTTCCTACCGACGCACAATCAAGTACCACACATTGCATACTTAATGCCCGCACATGATCTCGTTCATTGTGAGTTGGATGCAGATCTGATGCAAATCAATCTACTTGGACGAGAGGTCTCATGGAAATCGACCTCGGTGATACAATCCCGCAACTAAACAAAACAACATACAGCAGCGCGTATCGCGGCAATCACAACTCGCATTACGATGTATTTCGAGCTTAATTTGATGGGGAGGAGGTAGTCCTACACATGTAGGGATAAGATTTAGCCTGTTCACGCCAATTAGATTGTGATCAAATCCTACTTAATTGGATGAAGAAAGAAAAACCCTATATCGTTCCAATATATTGATGAATGGAAAACCTACAAGATAGATAGTTGGAAGATTAACTAGCGTCAGCGCGATGGCTATGGTTTGGCCGCATGTACGTCCTCTTGCGTCTCAAGAGATTTCGTTGCAAGGCTGTTCAAACAACATTGACCTTTGCGTTTGTCTCAAGCATGTTTCCGATCATCGCACGCATAGCGTGGGATTTGTACTAGGAGATCAGTCCGTTCCTTGACAGGATTTGTGTTGGGCTAATACTTAGTCCTACACTTGGATACATGTTCTGTGAAACCGCTTCATTTTAGTGAAATGAGGATTCAAAGTGATCTGGAGAATTCATGAAAATCGTCAAATGAGTTGTGTTTCGTTGTTAAAATTGGTCAAATGGAACTATTCTCATATGCTTTCTGCAGCAAGTGCTCTTTGCTTGACACGTCGTTGATGGCAGCTAGCTCTATTGGGTCAATGAATCGATTTGGAGTTGCGGAGGATGCAATCTAATGGCCAACAAATCAAATAGCTTGTATCCTCTATTCAACTAGGAATGTGTCAGAATCTCCTAATTCTGTATTTTATTTAGGGAAATTATGATACATTCCCCTGAAATATGTTGAAATATCAAGAATATCCCTGTATTCTTGGTAATAACAAATCTACCCCACTTTTCTCATAATATCAAATGTACCCTTGAACTTGATAACTTATTACAATTTTTCTTTTTTATGTGCATCTGGGCCCAACCTGCTTGCAGTAGAGAAATTTGCGGGCCTTCTTCCGCACTTTTAAGCAATAATGATGGAGGGTTAGGAGCTTCAACACAGCCCTGTCAATGCCGGCCATTCCGATGGGGCCTCCTCTTGCTTCAGGTGGGCGGAAGCCTATTGCCCAGCTTTGCCACGCCCTCACAATATGCAGGTCCTCCTGCTCCTCCGAAGTTCAGTAGCTCTCCTTGGCCATTACAACCTGCGTAGGATGTGCAGCCGCCCAGAGTGCCTTCCAATTTCGCAGAGTTTCCGTTAGCTCCCCATTCACCGAATTTCCGTCAGTATCTATCACGGATTATTTACACGGGTTATTGCAGATATAAGTTCTCACAGAAAGCATTCAGTCGAGACTAGCAGCAAACAAGATCAAGACCGACAATCGAACTTAAAAGCATCAAGGAAAATTCCAATCCATGGACAAAACAACGGGTTATCAAAATACCAAAAAAAATTGTTTCATAAAGTTTGTGACAGATGAGGCAAATGAGACTCAGTCACAGTGAGTGCTAATTCTACAATATGGTATACTCATCAGATCACCGAGAAATCGCTATACAAGCGCAAAGCTTCAGAGACTGCTTCAAAACTCCAACATCACAATATGTGTCCTTCAACTCCTCAAGTGGACAAAACCCAAGTCATCTACCTCAGGACGAAATGTACAAAATACAGTCCACGAATGTCTCCAAACTCGAGAGCAGGAAATTGAACTGAGATTGGGAAGCAGGCGGAAACACGGGGGTAGACAACAGCAGCGGGATGAGCAAAGATTCGCCGTCCCTTCAAAAGCTGGAAGCAGTAAACAAATGCACCAACGGGCCACTCTACCACTGCAGCCTCAGCTAAGGCAACAACTCCTACAGTTGGGCCCAGAATCCGGCAGTGGCAGGGGTTCTGGCGAGTGCCGCACTCGAAGCAGAGGGGCACAAACGGGCAGCAGTGAAACATCACTGAAGTCATCACTGAAGTCTGTGTTAATCGAAGTCACCGCTTTCTTGGGGCAAATCATGCTCCGCAGCCTGTCGAGCTCATTCGCAGACAGGGCGACCTGGTTGTGGGACTCCTTCCGCCCGGGAGAGAATCCCGCCACTCGAAGTCTCTTGCGGTTGCCATACTTGCGCAACAGGACCACCACTATGTCTGCAATCAGGGCCCGTTTGGAACCATCCATGTTGTGGAAGTAAGCTGACATGGGGTTGCCTTTGGAAATCACCGACCTCGTTGATGGCCGTTGCTGATCTTGGACTTCAACCCTCTTTTCTTTGCGGCCGCACTGTGAGCATAAAAACTCCTTGCACTTTATCTCCGGTCGAAGCGCATTCTTCTGTGGTGGACAAGCTTCTTTGACTTTGGCCTTTGCAGCGTCAGGCTCCTGGCAAGCAGGATCTTCACTGGGTGAAACATCACTGAAGTCATCACTGGGTGAAACATCACTGAAGTCATCACTGAAGTCATCACTGAAGTCTGTGTTAATCGAAGCTGTGCATGTGAGCACTTTCGGAAATTTCATACGCAGTAAGCACACAAGAAAAAAAGGAGGGGATTCATGAGAAACTTCGATTGTGCAGTTTGCCCCACGGTGCTGCTACTAGTTATCTCTCTAATTCATAATCCCATCAGTGAAAGTTAACCATGCCATCGGCTGCATATCGTACTCAGGTTGTAATGGACGAGGGCTACTAAACTTCGGAGGAGCAGGAGGACCTGCATATTGCGAGGGGGTGGCATAGCTGGGCAACAGGCTTCCGCCCGCCCTAAGGAGGAGGAGGCCCCATCGGAATTGCCGACATTGACAGGGTTGTGTTGAAGCTCCTAACCCTCCATCATTACTGCCTAAAAAGTGCGGAAGAAGACCTGCAGATTTCTCCGCGGCAAGCAGGTTGGGATAAAAAGAAAAGTTGTGATAAGTTATCAAGTTCAAGGGTATATTAAGAGAAAAGTGGGGTAGATTTGCTATTATCAAGAATACATGGCTATACTTGATATTTCAATATATTTTAGGGGCATGTATGATATTTTCCCTTTTATCTATTATATCACAGCAACTAAGGTATCATCTTCAGATATGATCAACACAGAAAACAAAAGATCCAAGGGGTCTTGAGATTTATACACTCATATGCACTCCACTGTAATAAAGGTAACGCTAGATTCTTCAACAGTGCAACAAGTCTACAATTGTTAGCAAACTACTGAGTTCACTATTCACAGAGAGAGCAGGCAATTGCATTTCGAGCGGGCATTCGATGAATATAGCGAATTCCACTTTCACAGTAGTGCTTCAGCTCCTCGGTGAACTACGGAGAGCTATGCTAATTCGGAGTCTAGGTTGGAAACGCAAAAATTTTGCTTATCGTGCCATGATCGCTGGGGTCAGGAGATTAAGTTGAATTTTCACATTGTTGAACATCGTGGGGGTTGAGGAGGGATAAGGGGTTCGGGTAAAGTTAGATTTAGCACACCTTCCTTGGTTTTCTGGCTGAGATCAACCATAATAAATTTCCTTTTATAACCTTAAATCTAATATTAGGTTCATTGGTCCTGACTAAATAATCTTTCAAATCGCACTCGTCAACTGGTTCAAGCCGAATTTTCTTTTTTCCGAGGGGAACCCACGTTCAACTGCACAAAAAGTTGCATTTGTTCAACGCAAATGTGTAGATCACTTGTCTTACCTTCAAGTCAATTTGATGTCCTTACCCATTAATGCAAATCAGTTTGCAAACTGTAAAATCCCATGGTTAGAGAGACTCTAAATCCACATTCACTGTATGTTGATCATAAACCCCAGTCATCTAGAGCTGTCTGTGAACTAGAAGGATTGAAAGTGGTGCCAGAAGATAGGAGGCTAGGCACGTTGTGAAGGAACATGAATAGTTGGATCAGTTGCACCTCTTGAAGCATGCACCCTCAAAAGTATTGCAGGTCCAGACCAACCTCATGGTTGGAATGGGTTCTTTCAAAAGCATTGCAAATGACTAACAATCGACAGAATACGGTAAACAGCACCACTGGTTTGGTAAAGACCTTGCACTAGCTTGCAAACAGGTCAAACTATCGATGCAAAAGCCTGAAAACTGGTCACAACTGCCCTGATTCAGACGTATTCAGAAGTCAAAGAATACATTTCAAACGGAACTTATAGATCGTGTATATACTGGCAGCGTAGCACCCACTCTGAATCACCGATTAGGCTCAATCCTTCTGTTGTACAGAACATATAACACCTTCGACTACCTGTACTTCCATTCAGCCGCAGCTACTATACATGAGCACTTGGTGGAGGCGATGTTTGAGTGGCATACGTGATCATTACAATCTGCGAACGGAGGTAATTTTGTATGTCTTCGCTACTTCATCCATGGACATTCGAATGCTGGCCATATTTATTTTGTGTGTGACGTGTGAAGACGTCGTCTGACCTTTCTTCATGGGACGGCAAATCCTCATCAAAACCTTCATGACCTCCGCTACTTGCCCGAACCACCCTGTCCCCGCCCCAAGGTATGACATAAACCCGGTAAACCGCACGGACACCACATTGTGCCATACATTTGACGTCATGGTTGAGCTCTGGCTCCAGTCTCTGAGACTAAAAACAACAAAAAACAGACACGGCAGTGTTTTAATTAAATTTTAAAATGAATGGCTCTGATATTCCTCCAACTTAGGGTTTCATGATTCAAGAGGAAGACTCAGATTGCAAAAAAGAAGTTCGCGATGGACCCGGCTGCTGAAGGACTTATTACCCAAATTTCAACCAGAATTTCTGATCTCGGAACCTTTCCCAGAGTTAAATTCATCGCAGTGAAACCAACTGCCTCATGAATTGTCTGATTCCATCATGAAAAAGACTAATAAAAACAAATCTTCAATTTAAAGGATCTATCTTCAGCAAGTAGATCATACTATGGGAGGCAAAAAAGTAGCTATGAATTCCCTTCTCTTTGTAGTCCGCGATTGACAAAGTTCGACGCTTAATCATAACTCATCTCTTTCCCTCAATACGACCAAGAAGAGAGGATGCGTCGCAAACGCTGAGATACACTCAAACCGATCGCGAATCTCTCCACCCCTTCAATCTACATACTCTCAATCTCATTCCCAATTGAATCGCACAGGACTTCACCCACCCAACACACACTCAAACTCATTTAAACGTGTAAAATTCATCGGTCGGAATCAACATAAACTTGTACTGAACACAAGAAACACCACAAATCGCACAAATCGCACAAGTCTCAAATAGCATCTTCCTCCTCCAACTACCCACACCTAAGCGAAATCAGACCCCACAATTGGAATCTCATAAAGAAACGAATAAGAATAAAATACCTTCAAGGCCACGAAACAGAATCCTGCAGAGGTAAAAGGATCAGCAACCTGTCAAGCAAAGCAGTTCTACTATCAATGCCCCACCGCTGCGATGCCGCACGAACGAAGATGATAAGCACGATGATGTCAGATCCAATCTTTGCACCCAAAAAAAAAAAAAAAAAAAAAAAAAAAAACTCAAAACACCAAAGATTAAAAAACAAAAGGGCGTCATCAGATAACGGATTCCTCTGCGAAAGTGGGTCGCCCAGTCCTTGTCGTTTCCCTAAGAATGGCAAAAAAGTGGAGGAGATACCTGCCGGTGACCATCGCAGCCGGACCGCAACGGCAAGCATTGATCGGATGCTCGTCGTAGTGCTTCCGTTTTCTTGTTTTGCCTTTCTGCGTCTCTTATTTATTTATTGCTCTTAACTTGGGGCCGAAGTGACTAACTGTGTTATGTTGAGTGACTGTTGTTGCTGGAATGCGTCGGCGACGATGTGCGAGCACCAGGTTTGTCATTCTCTCGGCGTGATTGGGGTTTGTGCGAGGAGCGTGAGCTGCATCGTTTGCGTTCCTCGCAAAACTCAGCCCTCGTTTACCATTTCTTTCCTTCCTTCCATTGCTAATCCTAATTTCCCATTGTTTGTCTCCATCCTACACCATGCACTCTTGATTTGGGAATCTTAAGTTTAATTGCTTCTGGGTGTTTAACTTCTGTAACTATTATTAAGTGTTGATGATTTATATATACATTTATATATGTGGTGTTATAAATTATAAAGTGTTGATAACACTTAATACTAGTGTTGATAATTTATATATATATATATATATATATACATTTATTTTTTGAAAGAAAAAAATCACTTGGAGATATTTAAAATATTTATGTAGAAGTAGACATGAAGTTCAATCTGCTCTTTTATGTGAGGAAGATATTGCAAAGAGTCCACATGCTTGTTGAGGGAGCAACTATAGTACATACTTGCATGGGGTGCCTAGATTTGTGTTGGAAGTGTAGCCTCTTTGCCATCTAACAATATGAATTGTTTTTGCTAGGAGTGTTTTTGTACGGCTCATAGAGCTTGTTTGTTACTAGCTTAATCAAGGCAGTTTTGTTACTGGATTGTTTAGTTGCCTTAGAGGATTGTATTGAGCTTGTTCATTGTCTATACAATCTTTTTAATAAATCATAGGTTTTTTTGCAATTTTGGACTTTGAATCTTTATTGTTCAAGGTGACATAGACTACTTACAACAAGATATTTTATCTTCATAATGTGAACATGTTTTAATTTGGAATTGGTTTTTTTTATAACTTTAGTATGTAAAGAGATATTATGTCATTTTGAAACCCTAATATTTCTAAAAATAAATATATGTTTAAGTTTTGGATAATACCATTAGAATTATAAGCACCAAAAATAGGAAGGAAAGTGCCTTCAAAACTCTTTAAGAAAGAAGCCAAAAATCTTACATAAGCATTTGAAATCCTAAATCCTAAACTTGATAAACTAAGTTACAACAATATATTCTAAATCATAAATATAGTCACTTCAATGTAAATTTTGGTCATGTAAATTTATTACAATCCATTATTTTGTGTGAAGAAGGCATTGCACGAAGTCCATAATATTGTTGAATAAGTAGCTATGATACATGTTTGTATAAGGTGCCTCAATTTGTATTGGAAGTATAGCCTCTTTACCATCTAACAACATGTATTATGTCTACACAATTTACAAAGCTTAATTGTTGCTTGTTTGGTCATGGCAATTTTGTTTGTGAGTTGTTTAGATGCTTTATAAGATTGTGTTGAAGTTATTATTGATTGTATAAATAGTCTATTTCACAAATTACAAGTTTTTTGCGACTTTTAGACTGTGGATCTAGATTGTCTAATATAACTTGCACCATTCACATCAAGGTATTTTGTTTTCACATTATGAACACATTTTAATTTAGAATTGGATTTTTTATGATTTTAATATAAAATAGTTATTATATTATTTTAAAATTCTAATATCTTCAAACTTAAAAATATGATTTATATTCTAAATAACATTATTAAAACTAGACTCATTAAAAATATGATAATAAATAACTTAAAAACTCTAAATCTAAAAGTATATATAAATAAGTCAAAAATCTTATAGAAGCCCTAATTATAATAGGATAAAGATAAGATATTTGTATTATTGACACATAGAGATAGATAGTTACAACCATGTTTGAGAAGTTATGGAAGTTTTTAGAATTGAAGTTAGATTGGTAGACTAGGTAGGATCCATCATAGAATATTCTTAAAAAAGTTTAAGATGGTTATATTGGTGGGATCCACTATAAAACCTTCTAAAAAAGGCTTAAGGCTATTATTTATATAGGATCTACCATAGAATCTTCTAGAAGAACTTTAAGGCGTTTATTTAAGTGGGATCCATTATCTAAGAACATTCTAGAAAGTTTAGGGTAGTACAACAAAGTATAAATAGGACTAACTAGGGCCTTTAGAGGTATTTGGTCAGGTATGGTTTCAAACCTTTTTTCTTAATACAATTGGATATTATATCTTCTTATTTTGTTTTGTTTTCTTCTAATTCTAGCTGCTCAATTTTGTCTTCTATGTTCCATTCTGTTTAATTTTGTTCAATTTTATTGTGGTTCACTTTGTCCTACGATGTGATGAAGTTTTATATTGCTGTGAATTACAAAGATCTTGGATATTTGAGATAGACTTGAAACAAGACCAAGCTATTTCAAAAACCTGATATCTTTCTATTCCACAGCAACATAATGCGTCATCACAAAATAGGACAAAACAGACCACAATAAAACTAAATGGAACTAAATAAAATAGGATATGAAAGATAAAATTGAACAAATAGAAATAGAGCAGAGCAGAATTGAATAAAAAGATGCAAAACCAAATTTTACTAAGAAAACAGATTCAAAGCCATACTTAATGAAATGCCTCTAAAGCCCTTGACCAATCCTATTTATACCTTATCCTATTATCAGAAGGCTTGAAGATAGACCCCAAGAAAGTGGAAGCAATCGTGTCTTGGGAGGTTCCAAAGACAGTTAGAGACGTACAATGCTTTCTTGGTTTTGCCAACTTCTATTGGATCTTCATCAAGAATTACTCTCAAGTTGCTACTCTTCTCACTCGGTTGACATGCAAGATTAAGCTGGAATGGGGACCTCTAGCGGAGAAGGCGTTTCAAGATCTGAAGACCGCATTTACTACGGCTCCAATCTTGGTACATCCACACTTTACAAAGGCCTTCTATTTAGAAACTGATGCTTCGGATTTTGCTTAAGGAGCTGTACTTTCACAAATGGGAGAAGACAAGAAGCTCCATCCAGTTGTATTCTATTCTCGAAAGTTCTCTATCGTTGAAATCAATTATGAGATCCACGATAAGAAACTTCTTGCTATAGTGGATTCTTTCCAAGAATGGCGTCACTTTCTTGAAGGAGCTGCACACCCAGTGACTATATACACAGATCACAAGAATTTGGAATATTTCATATCAACTCGAGTTATAAATCGATGTCAAGCTCGATGGAGTATGTTGCTATCTAGGTTCAATTTTGTTATCACTTATTGACCTAGAAAGCAGCAAGGACTATCTGATGCCTTATCGAGGAGATCGTATCTTGTACCAAAGGCTGGAGAAGCAGCGTTTGATCAACAATGTATGACATTGTTGAAGCCAGAGTAATTTCAGCTTTGCGCTACTATTGTGCCAATTGATGCTGATTTCCTGAATCAAGTACGTGCCATGACCATTGAAGATTCAGTAGCCATTGATATTAAGTAGCATGCCAATGACGACAAGTTGAAGGTAGAGGGAGATCTTTTATACTTTGAAGAGCAGTTGTATATCCCAAAAGGACCAGCACGACTCCGAGTTCTTCAATCTCACCATGATTTTCCAGCTGCGGCACGTTTTGGATTCAACAAGACCTTGGAGCTTATTTCTCGAGATTTTTGGTGGCCCCAAATGTGAAAGAATGTGAAAGATTTTGTCTTCTCTTGCGACATCTATTCAAGATCCAAGAATCCTCGGCATCGCCTTTATGGACTCCTACAGCCATTGTCGATTCCACGTCGACCATGGTCTTCAGTTTCTATGGACTTCATCACAGACCTGCCATCATCGAACTCATTTGACAGCATCTTTGTCATGATAGATCGGCTTACAAAGATGGCACATTTTGTCCCTTGCAAGAAGACATCATCTAGTGAAGTCACAACAAGGCTCTTTCTCGATAATGTGTATCGATATCATGGACTATCATATGATATTGTATCAGATCGAGGAACCCAATTCGTATCAAAGTTTTGGAGATCTCTCTTTGAGATACTGAAGGTGGATATCAAGCTTTCTTCGACTTTTCATCCTCAAATTAACGACCAAACGAAATGGGTGAACCAAGTCTTGGAACAATACTTACGATGCAGCATCAACTATCAGCAAGATGATTGGACCACATATCTGTCGCTAGTCGAGTTTGCATATAACAACACCCTCTATGCGTCAACTCAATACACACCATTCTTTTCTAACTATGGATATCATCCGAAGCTTGATTTATTGAGTTCGTCAACAAATAACAATCTAGCAATTGAAAGATTTGTGAAACAACTATCAGAGCTTCAAAATATGTTGAAGTTTCAATTACAATCCGTTCAAGAATCCCATAAGGCGTTTGTAGATAGATTTCGAAATCAAGCACCTACTTTCAAAATTGGAGATAAAGCATGGCTTCTTCGATGGAATATCAAGACCAAGCGACCATGCAATAAGTTGTACTATCGAAGATTGGGACCATTTATCATCCTGAAGCAAATCAATCTAGTGGTGTACCGTCTGGAATTACCGACTTCTATGAAGGTACATCCAATCTTTGATGTTTCTCTGTTGGAGCCTTATCGAGAGTCGTCTTTTCTTGGAAGAGTGCAATGTCCGCCACCTAGTATTGAGATT